GTATCGCTGAAGTTCCTCGGAAATAATTTATATCGGAAATTAACAAACGAGCAGATACGTAACAATATATTAGCTAATTAGTTTAAAGACCTCCCCTTCCCCAGTGACTGAATGGTAAGTTTGAAGGCTTATAACGATAAAAGCCGGGTCTCGATACTCATAGTGGGCAAAACACAGAGAGCCCATTGTGTAGCTTTGTGCTTAACTACAAACAAATAAACTTATTTTGAAAAAAAAAATGTAATTTATATAAAATATTTTAGAAAGGACTTCTAGAAGAACGTTTTGTGATGAAGAAGAATATTCAAGATATTAATATGTTCATTGATATTTTAAATTCGATAAAAAGGAAGATTAAGTTTCCCTTTGAAAGAAATAAGAATGCCTTATCCTTTTTCAATGTGTTGGTAAATGTTTTACCAGAAAAATAAATTGTAAGTGATATTTTCACAAGCTCAGAAACACACAACAGTATGTAATTTTTTTTTATAAATCATCCTCCCTCCCTGAAAAAATGATAATTAAAAGTTATAGCAAATGTTTTCAAGTAGACTAACTTTTAGTTACAAATGAAGGAAGGAGAGTTAATAGATTACTGGAGCTAAAACAGTTATTAATTCCGTATCACTATCGGAAACATGTTATATTACGGGGCTTGAAAACTGCTAAGAATAACTTTTGATATAAAAAAATGAAGGTATAGAGATTAGTAAACCAAAAGAGGATATTATACCATTTTTAGTGACTCACTATCCGATTATAGATATTGGTATTTAATTGGTTAATACATAATTAAAACAAGTAGTAGATAAAAAAGTGATAGATGTTTTCAAAGATAATAAAATTATTTTACAAAGAAAATAACCTAAAAATTGATATAGATTATGAATAAACCTTAAAAAAGGATATTTTTCCTATGGAAGGTATTTTTAGTTCTGAAAAAAAGAATTGTGTTTTATGTAACTTGAGGTATATTAAAATAATAAAAATCTATCATTTGTCATTAATAATTTATTCAATTTCATTTCTAAAAATGTAATATATCTTTTAAAGTGTGTAAATGGTAGTGTATTATATCTTGGTGAAACATATAATTTAAGATTAGTGATGAATTTACTATACTTCCGAGTTAGATTTTCCAAAAAAGTGGCCAATGTATACCAGCAAACATTTTAATGAATGTATTTTGAGCAATGTTCGGGCAGAACCATATTCTCATGTTTTCCCTTTATTTTCATGTAATATAAAACATAAAAGACTAATTTACGAAATATCTATATACTACTAAAACTCTGAGATTGTTTGTTTGTTTGTGTGCTTGTCTGTAATTAAATACAGCAAAAACGGCACACAATATGATAATAGAAATATGAATAGAATATGAGAAATGAGAATAGAAACAGAATAAAACAAGTTTAAAATCGGGTCACGGGTTACCGAGTTAGCGCTGTTTTTCGGGTCACTCTTATGAAAATTTCTAGCATGAGTAATTTTACATCACACTACCGTTCGCGCTCTTTACGAAACTTCTTCGTTCAAATCTATTTCTCTATTTCGTCAAAAGATGGCAACGTAAGCGCAACAACTTTAAGATGTTTATTATTAAACAACATACAAGTTAATGTAACGTACAGTGTGTGATATGTAAACCATAGTTACATTAAAATATTTTTGCCAACTGCGTTGATCATTGAAAATGAATTTGACACTGTAATGTAATTTTCATAAGCGGTTTTGCTTTGTGAAGCATTAATTAGAAACAAACATGCCATTGAATGTAGCATTAAGATGCTGTGCTGACTTACGAAAGTATCGCATACATCTATCTATATACTACTAAAACTCTGAAATTGTTTGTTTGTTTGCTTGTCAGTAATTAAATACAGCAAAAACGGCATACAATAACGCCATATTTGTAAGCATACGGTACCCCCTGAAATGAGAACAGAAACAGAATAAAACAAGTTTCATTAAAATCGGGCCACGGGTTACCGAGTTAGCGCCGTTTATCGGATCACTTTTATAAAATTTTTAGCATGAGTAATTTTACATCACACTACCGTTCGCGTTCAAATTAATTAACTGTCAGTGTTCCCATCTTCATTAAAAGGCGTAAAATGACAAAAACAAGATCATGAAGAATTTCTCAATAATGTGCCTTGTTTATGGTAAGAAAGGAAATGAGAATATTTTCTCAGTCAAAATCTCATTGTGAGACAGTGAGAAAGATTTTTTATTTGGTGACTTTCATAGTGTATCAGTTATCAAGTTTTGCTGTTTCTTGCAGTAATTTGAGCAAGTAAGTATGAAATGTTTTTCTGAAATAGTCTTTTTTGTTGTTTTTTTATAGCAATTACGTTCTCATAAACCATGAATAGCATTACTAGTATCTGTTATTTCTTATTTTCAGGCGTTTTGAATCAACTGTGAATAAGGCTTGTTCATCACAATACCTGAAAACTCTGACTTCACTTTTTGAAAATGAAATGCTCTTTTCCTTTTATTCCCGATC